CCTAGTTTTCCACATGTATCAGTTTCATAATCAGACTGATGACAAGGGTGGTGACAGTGAGGAGGAGGATCTCTGGAGATTTTGGAGATTTTTAGAGCTTCCAGAACTTCCAAGCTGCTCTCCTCCTCTATCCCCACTTCCTTCCCAGGGTTCTTTTTTTTGTTTTGTTCCTCCCTGCATATGTGGCGTCGGCCCGTGGAGGGCTCACGGGTGCTCATAGTCCTCAGCCAGCCCACGGACGCAGGGATGAGGTCCTTTTTTCTTAAACAGGAAAGAAAAGGTTACTGTCTCTGATCCATATTAGCAAGAATTGGGTCAAAATACTCTAAACATTTTATTGCTCAGGTTTGTATTTATTTGAGGTGATGAGCCTTGAGACTGAGACGGCCTCGTTTTACACTTCAGTGGGAGGAAGGAAGGCTCCTTGGGGTTACTTGCACGTGACTGTAACGGGAGCCGCGGTTTCAGGTCCACGCACAGAGCAACCTCACAGACGGCGACGTCGGCGACGTCGGCAGAGCAGAAAGCTCGCCTTCCCAGGCCTTGTCTCGTGCAAATCCTTCGTGACGAAATAGAATTTGAATGAGACGAATGCGTGTGTGTGTGTGTGTGTGTGTGTGTGTAAGAAGTACACTTTTTTTTTTTTTTACACTTTGCATGAAAAGCATTCAGGCCTAAAATGGAGAGCAGAGTATGCTTAGTTTTCTGAATCAAAAATATTTGAGTTGTGGTCATGCTATTTGCCCTTCTCTAACGAGGGCTTGAGAACTCCATAAAGCACATTTCTGAAATATGTGTGAGTTAAGGGACGCAGCCAGTTAAGACCGCACTGTAAAAAGAGAAGCCACAGGTAGTTCCGTTTGTTTAACTTGCTTGGGGATGGTCTGAGAGTAGCATTTAAGAAGAAAATAGGTGCAGCAGACAGAGAACCAAGAAACTCCCTATTCGGCATGTAATACTCTGAAGATTTGGCTCACTGTACCCTGATTTAGAAGTGGGTTCCCTGGGGGCGCCTGGGGGGCTCCGTGGGGTGAGCGTCTGCCTTGGGCTCAGGTCATGGTCCCGGGTCCTGGGATCAAGTCCTGCATCGGGCTCCCTGCTCAGTGGGGAGCCCGCTTCTCCCGCTCCTCCCTCTGCTCCCCCCCCCCCATACTCTCTCTCTCTCAAGTAAATAAGTAAAATATTTTTTTAAACTGCGTTCCTGGGGATCCCTGGGTGGCTCAGTGGTTGAGCACCTGCCTTCAGCTCAGGGCGTGACCCCGGGGTCCCGGGATCAAGTCTCCCATTGGGCTCCCCGCAGGGAGCCTGCTTCTTCCTCTGCCTGTGTCTCTGCCTCTCTCTCTTTCTCTCTCTGTGTCTCTCATGAATGAATAAATCTTAAAAAAAAATTAAAAAAACAAACTGCGTTCCTGATGGTACTGGTTCACCTCCAGCCCTCACTGGGGCCTTCAGGGTCCCGGCCCTGCCGGGGGGAGCCGTGCACGGTTGCATCACCTGCCTCTAATCAGCAGCCACCTTTGCAGGCAGCAGCGTTCAGGAGCCATAAAAAGTCAAAATAGGGAAATTTTTTTTTTTTAATAGGGAAAATTTTTAAACTTGAAAACAAATTTGGCATTTTTTAGGTGTACGGTGTGTGGATTCAGTGTCGTTAATCCAGGGATGCCTGACTACAAATTCCTCTACATTTCACATTTATCTTTGTTTTTTTTTTTTTAAGATGTTATTTATTTATCTGACACAGAGAGAGCGAGAGCACAAGCAGGGGGAGCCGCAGGGGGAGAGGGAGAAGCAGTTTACAAACTGAGGCAGGGCCCCATCCCAGGACCCCGGGCCGCCACCTGAGCCCAAGGCAGACGCTTCACCGCCTGAGCCGCCCAGGCGCCCCTATTTCACCTTTATTTTGGATTGAAGCAGAGAAGCTTAGTTTGTCCAAAATATTTAAATTTCTTTTTTAGAAAGACTGTTACGAGTTATTTACGTAACACAAAATGCCAGACAATTTCTACCTAACACTTGGCAGCAAGTCCCTTGTAAACAGGCGGCAACCACGCGAGCCACACGTGTGGCTTCAGCGTGTGATTTTCGGACACGCTGCCGCGAACAGGTGTTACATACGGTGTGAACCAGTCGAGGGTCCTTGTTCCAATATGTGTGACAGTTCGACTTGATCGTCGTCGCGTAACCTCAGCACTGTGACCATCTGAACGTGTACAGTTGGGTGGCGTTTGCCGTATTTCCAGTGCTGCCCGCCTGCGCTACCGAGTTCCAGAACATCGCACCCCAAAAGGACCCATCAGGCGGTTGCTGCTCATTGTCCCGGACCCCTCGCCCTCGGCCTCCCTCCCCTGCTTCGGCTCTCGATGGCTTCCCTATTCCGGATGTTTCCTATAAGCAGGATGATTCCGCATGGCCCTCCGAGTCTGCTTTCTCTCGTCAGCGTGGTTTGAGGTTCGACCGTGTTGTAGGATGATCGCTCTTCCCGTTGCGTGGCTGCCGTGTGTGCATCGTACGGATGTGCCACACGTTGTTCCCCGTTGATGGACGTGGGGCTGTTGTGAATCGTGCGGCTAGGAACCCTCGCGTACGAGTGTTATGTGAACGGTGTTTCTTTAATTCTCTCGATCCGCACTTAGGAGTGGAATTTCGGCCTCGTGGTCATTGGCTGGTGACCTCCTGGTACTTGCTGCCAAGCTGCTGCCCGCCGAGGCCGTGCCTCTCACCTGCCCACCAGCACGGCGGCCGTCCGGCCTCTCCCCTTCCTTACCTGCGCCTGCTTTCAGATCTGTTGTATCGTAGCCACCCTAGTGCGCGTGAAGTGACACCCCATTGTGGTTTGGGCTTGCATTTCCCCGATGACTGGTGACCTGATGATGTTGAGCATCTATCTGTTCATGTGCTTACTGGCCATTCGTATGTATTTCTTAAAAGATTTTATTTACTCATGAGAGAAGCAGAGACACAGGCAGAGGGAGAATCAGGCTCCCTGCGGGGAGCCCAACAGGGGACTCGATCCCGGGACCCCAGGATCACACCCTGGACTGAAGGTGACGCTAAACCGCTGAGCCACCAGGGCTGCCCTATTCATGTATCTTCTTTGGAGAAACGTCTGTTTGATTCCTTTGCCCCTTTTAGAAAAGGCTTGTTTTTTTGTTGTCGAATTGCAGAGTCTTCATGTATTCTGGATACCAGACATGGATCATACATAAGATTTGCAATAATCCTCTCCGGTGCTGGGTGTCGTCTTTTCAGTCTCTTTGATAATATCCTTTGATACACAAAAGTCGTACATTTTGATGAGGTTCAGTTTATCCCTTTTCTCTTTTGTTGCTCATGCTTTTGGTGGCAGAGCTAAGAAACCGCTGCCCAATCCAAGGTCATGATTTTCCCTTAAAAGTCCTATAAGCTCTTGTATCAAGGTCTTTCATTGATTTTGATTTAATTTTTGTTTTCAGTGTGAGGTAGGGGCCCAACTTCATTCTCTTGCCAAATACTTTCTGCTTCAACTGCAGTGATGGTGTGACTTCTTCTCATTTTATTAAAGTGGTATATTGGAATCCCTGGCTGGCTCAGCGGTTTCGCGTCTGCCTTCGGCCCAGGGCGTGACTCCGGGGTCTCGGGATCGAGTCCCGCATAGGGCTCCCTGTGTGGAGCCTGCTTCTCCCTCTGCCTGGGTTTCTGTGTGTCTCTCATGAATAAATAAATAAAATCTTTTTAAAAAAATGTGGTATATTGGGGATCCCTGGGTGGCTCGGCAGTTTGGCGCCTGCCTTTGGCCCAGGGCACGATCCTAGAGTCCCGGGATCGAGTCCCACGTTGGGCTCCCGGCATGGAGCCTGCTTCTCCCTCTGCCTGTGTCTCTGCCTCTCTCTCTCTCTCTCTCTGTGTGTCTATCATAAATAAAAAAATAAATCTTAAAAAAAATGTGGTATATTGGTTTGCCTAGTGCTGCAGGGTCCTTTGGGAGAGGTCCTCCGGGATAATCTGTTCTATGCTTGTCCTCTAGCTTCTGGTGATTGCCAGTAATCCTTGGCATTCCTTGGCTTATAAATGAATAATTGCAGTATCTATCTTCATCTTTACATGACCTTTTCCTCTGTTTAACCCCATGTGCCTCTTTGTCCTTATTTTCTTCTTCTTATAAGGATACAGGTCCTTGGATTAGGACCCTCCCTAATCCAGGATGACCCCACCTGGATTGGATCGTATCTGTAATAAGGTCACATTTATAAGTACTGAGGGTTAGGACTTACTCATATTTTGAAGGGACACAATTCAACCCCATATATGTGGTGTATGACATCGATCGGTTTTATTATGTCGAACTTCCATTGTATTTCTAGAATAAATTCCACTGGTTGATGGCAGGTAATCCTTTTGGTATGATCCTAGCTCAGGTTGCTTATATCTTCTGGAGGATTTTTACATATTTACTCATAAGGGATATTGGTCTGCAGTTTTCTCGTGTTTGTCTACCCTTGGGAGCAGGGTAAGTCTAGCCTCATAGAGCCAATTAGGAAGTGTTCCTTTCTCTTATTTTTTTGGGGAGAATTTGAAATGGACCTGTGTTAATTCTTCTTTAAAAGTTTTTAGACCTTACCACTGAACTCATTTGGTCCTGGGCTTCTCTTTTTCTTGGGAGGTTTTTGATTCCCAATTCAATCCCCTTACAGAAATTTTTTAAAGAATCATTAAGAGAATACTACGAGTCATCGTAGCCTACTCTAACAAATTAGATAATGTAAATGAAATGGACAAATCCCTAGGAATTTACAGACCAAAACTGACTCAAGAGGAGATAGAAAACTCTGATCCATGGACTAGCTCACGTCACATGATAACCCCACATAATCTAATGTTACCTTCACTCCTTTGAGCCTCCACAACCCTTCCTTCCCTCCTCATAGGGCCCCTACACCCCTGTGTATTTTTCCCCATGGAGGCAGGGAACCCAGCAGGTCCCCGGCCCGCGCACTGCCTCACGCGGGTTCCTTGGCCCGCAGGTGTTCGTGGCCAGTCCTCACAAAGCGCAGCCCGTCGTGGAGATTCTGCTCAAGAATCAGCCCAAACTCCTCGAGTTTCTGAGCAGCTTCCAGAAGGAGAGGACGGACGATGAGCAATTCAGCGACGAGAAGAACTACCTGATGCGGCAGATCCGCGACCTGAAGAGGAGCAGCCCTTGACCGGCGCTCCCAGCGGCTGCGTGGACACGGCCAGGGCGACCCGGGGCGACAGCGGCAGTGCGGCCGCCTCCCAGCAGAGCCCGCCCGGCCCGGTGTGCGGATGGCTGGCCGGCCACTCCACCGGGGGGCGCGACCCGGGCTCCCATGGGGTGGCCCCCGGTCTCTGCCCCCTTCCCCCCTGACCCCTAGCCCTGCCCCCGGCCCCCTGCCCCCCTGCCTCCTAGCCCTGGCCCTGCCCCCCTTGCCCCCTGCCCCTGCACCCCTACCCCCCTGCCCTCTGCCTCCTAGCCCTGGCCCTACCCCCTGCCCCTGGCCCCCTGCCCCCTGCCTCCTAGACCTGGCCCTGCCCCTGGCCGCCTGCCCCTGCCCCCTGGTTACTAGCCCTGGCCCTGACCCCCTGCCTCCTAGCCCTGGCCCTGGCCCTACCCCCTGCCCTCTGCCTCCTAGCCCTGGCCCTACCCCATGCCCCTGCCCCCTGCCTCCTAGCCCTGGCCCTGCCCCCCAGCCCCTGCATCCTAGCCCTGGTCCTGGCCCCTGCTCCCCTGCCCCTGCCCCCTCCCCCTGCCGAGCGCTCTGGCTATCACTGCCTTCCAGAGGAGCCCCCCCAGGAGCCCCCCCTGCCCCGTGGCCCCGAGTGCAGCCTGTACACCAACGGCGGCCGGTGATCGAACGTGGGCAAGAATTCTCATGTGACCAAAAGCCCGCTCTGCGGCCTAATCTCCTAATTAGCAGCCACTTGTTCTCCCCATCGAGCCGAGGCTTCGAAGGCGGCAGAGGGACCAACCTCCCTTCCCCACCGGCGATGGGACGCTGGCGTGGGGCAGCAGGGCCGACAGCAGGAGGGCACGGTGGGTGTGAGCAGACGGCAGGTGTGTAACGTGAAGGGTGGGGTCCCAGCCGGGCCTTCTCACACTTACCCGAGGCTGCTCCCTCCACGCCGCCGGGCCCTCCAGAGAGCTGCCTGCGGCCCGCCCGGCAGGTGTTCTGTGCGCGCCCTGCCCGGTGAGGACCTCCTGCCCTCCGCCCCCAGAGTCGTTCAGAATTGGACTTTCCTGGTTCTGCTGCTTTGATTGCTGTAAATATTAAAAAAAAAAAAAAAAGCGAGAAGCCTCAGTGGCCGTTGGACACTCATTTGGTTGCTAACACTGTTCCCCAACATCGTAGGACACGTGTTTCCATCTGGAAAGCAAGGCCTTGTCACAGTTCCTTTTTTTTTTTTTTTTTTGATAAATAAAACATTTTGTTTCCGCCCCAGCCTCAACTAGTTCTTTGGGGACAGGCCCTTATTCCAGCTCTGTGCCCAGCAAAACAAAACTCTAGAAGCCTAAGGGGCAGTCCACGAGGTAGCTGGGGGTTTGCGGGATACAAATTTGTGAGTTGTTAACGCGAGAGGGGGGTTGGGGGAGCAAGACGCCCGCCGTCAAAATACGTTTGCACAAGATTCACCGTAAACATTGTGAGAATGGAAATTTGAGAAGATCCCGGTTAATACGCGATTGCAAAACACACGTTTCAATACAGACTCACCCAGGAGGTGCCGCACGCTGGGTGCTCAGTGTCCTTCCTCTGCAGGCGGGGCCCTGCGCACCCACACGCGGCCGCCCAGCCCCCCAGGGGCACCCCCACTTCGCATTCGAGGTAACTGAGGCTCCGAGCGGTTCCACCCCCCAGGCAGCGTGGACTAGACCTGGGGATGCAGACCCAGGGGGCCTGACGCCAACTGTGCTCCTCCTGCGCCCCCCGACCTCGGGGTGGGAACCCGGGGGGGGGTCCAGGGCCCCGGGGGGTCCTCCCTGCCCCCCCCTGCGGCCTGGGCCCCCGGGGTCGGGGTGAGGGCGTGATGCTCGGGGACGCGAGGGCGGCAGAAGAGGCCGCGGGCCACCCCGGGCTCCTGCCTCCGGGCGCCCCATCCCCGGCCCCGAAAGCTCGGAGCGCGTGTGGGAGCTCCCAGGGGCTCCCCGAGAGGCCGCCGGAACCAACAGAACCTGCAACTGGAAAGTCGCTCCAGTTTGTTTGGTTTTTTTAATGTGAAAAACTTTGCAGTCTACTCGAATGAGAGGAAATTAGGATTTTTTGCATCTTTCCCTCTTGCATTCCCGGGGGTGGGGGGATGGGGGGCTCCCTCCCGGCGGACCTGGTTTTCAGCCTTCCCCCGGGGCGACCACCGGCCTCCAAGGGCGCCCCGCCCTGCGGCTGTTTCCCGCCCCCCCTCCCCCCCGGGTCACCGACCCCCCCAGGGGCTGTGCCACGACCCACCCCGCAAAGTCAAGTCACGAAGCCGAAGCCGCAGGAAACTTGCCAGCCCCCCGCCAGCTCCGACGCGCTGTTGCAGGCCGCTCGGGGGCCTCGGGGCCGGCACGTGGCACGTTGGTCCTTAGACTTGCAGTCCCTGATGTTCGGCGCTGGCAGCGGAAGGCAGAAGCACCGAACGTGGACTCGGCCACCGGTTGACTCCTCCCGCCGACGCGCGCTGAACCGACTGGCGGCGCCCCAGGGGTCGGCGCGGGGACAGCAGCCCCGGGGACAGCCGCCGTGGCCCCCCGGAGGCCGGGGGCGCTGACCCCCGCTCGGCCCCGGGGCTGCCCCAGGACGCTGGCCTCGGCACCGGTCCCCCGGGGCGCTGACCCCCGCCCGGCCCCGGGGCTGCCCCAGGACGCTGGCCTCGGCACCCGTCCCCGGGGGCGCTGACCCCCGCTCGGCCCCGGGGCTGCCCCAGGACGCTGGCCTCGGCACCCGTCCCCGGGGGCGCTGACCCCCGCCCGGCCCCGGGGCTGCCCCAGGACGCTGGCCTCGGCACCCGTCCCCGGGGGCGCTGACCCCCGCCCGGCCCCGGGGCTGCCCCAGGACGCTGGCCTCGGCACCGGTCCCCGGGGGCGGCCCGCGCGACCCGCACCCACACCCGCCGCGGCGCCCCCGTGCTGCCCCCTCCAATGCCGGGGCCCCCGCGAAGCCGTGGAGCCCGACGACGGGGCCGCCACACCTGGCCTCGGCTCCCGCTCCGCCGTGCAGTTTCGGGCCCCAAAAAGTGGGGCAGAAAGAAGCCCCCGGGGCCGGGCCCGCGTGGAGGGACTCCCCGCGCGCACCCGGCAGCAGGGCCGCAGGGCGTGACCTGGGGACACGCGGGGCGCCGCAGCGGCAGGCGCGGGGGCGCGGGGAGGGGCCTTGAACGCCGTCCCAGCGGCGTAATTACCGCCCAAGGCCGCAGCCGCTGACTTGGTGCCTGCCTGGGGCCGGCGCCGCTCCAGATGCTTCGCGAGCCCCCAACTCCGTCCTCAGAACCAGCGGAGGACGCACGTGCTCGTCACCCTGACTCTGCAGATGCAGAAACAGAGGCACAAAGGGTCGCTTGCCCACGAGCCTGCCGGGAGCACGTGGCTGAGCAGGATTCAAACCCAGAGCCCAGAGGCGGGAGCTGCGGAACTTGCGAGACGTCCAGGACTTAATATTGACCTCGGCCGGGTGTGCGGCGTCGCCTGGAAGGGAAGGGGGAGGAGGGCGCCTGCCAGGCCCGGGGCTGGGGGGACCTGCCCAGCGGGGGGCGCAGGGGTGAGGGGCGGGAGGGCAGTGCGGGGGTGACAGGTGCACGTGGGCTCTGGGGCCCAGGCAAGTCCTCAGGGCTGGGCGGGGAGGGGGCCTGGGCGCGGGGGGGGGGGGGGGGAGGGGGGAGGGAGCCTGGGAGGGGGTGGGGGAGGGGGAGTCCCCCCTGCAGGGGGGAGCCTGGGTGCCGCCGGGTGGCGAGGCCGAGCAGGAGGCCGTCCATGTGGCAGCGCCAGGCTGCCCTCCCCTGCGCGGACGTTCCCCCAGGCCCCGAGCTCAGGTGCAGGTGCTGGGCCGTCTACACCCGCAGGCCCGGGGCCAGAGGAGGCGGGGAAGGGGCGCCCAGGACCGTGCAGGCCCCACCGCCAGGAAGGGCTGGGGTCCTGCCGGGGCCTCGGTGTGCGCGGCCTGTGGGTGACCTGCAGGGCCCCAGGCTCCTCCCCGCGGCCGCTCCCCGGGTCCCCGCAGCCCCTCCATCCCCCCCACCCTGGGGGTCGTGGGAAGGAAGCCACGCGGGCGGCAAAGAGGGCAGAGAGGGAGGCCCTGGGGGCGGGAGGGCACCAGGAACGGGACGCGCCACAAGAGCCGATGCAGGCGCTGGGAAGGGCTGTGGGGACCAAGGGTGCTTGGCGGGGAGGCGCTGGGGCCCCTTCCCCCAGGGCGGGTGCCGCACAAGGTAGCCGGTGCTTGTGGAAGAAACGGAACATGAAGACGTTGAGACAGCTGGCTCAGGCTCCGGAGGAATGGGGGAAAGAAAAAGTGGGTCAAAGGAAGCCTTTGGGGGATCCCTGGGTGGCTCAGCGGTTTAGCATCTGCCTTCCGCCCAGGGCATGACCCCAGGGTCCTGGGATCGAGTCCCACATCAGGCTCCCTGCATGGAGCCTGCTTCTCTCTCTGCCTGTGTCTCTGCCTCTCTCTCTCTCTCTGTCTCTCATGAATAAATAAATAAAAAGCTTTAAGAAAAAAGAAAGAGAAACCTTTGGTTGGAGGAATGTATCAGTCAGCAACTGCTGCGTGACAAATCCTTCCACATGCAGTAAGTCCAATAAGTTGGTATTTTTCTCTCATTCGTCTGCGGGTTGGCTGGGGGTGGGGGGCCGCCCCATGCCAGGAGGGCTGGTGGCCGTGGCCCCGCTCCTTGGGCCGGGTGAAGGCGGGGAAGAGCAGGTGGGCGCACCGCGGCTTCCTGAGGCCCAACGTGAGAAGGGACAGGCTGGCATTGTCACTTCGTTCTCCTGAACCCCGGGTCGGGAGCTGAGAAACGGACCCCACCTGCTGCTGGGAGGAAACGCAAAGCCATATGGTGAAGGATGTGACTACAAATGGGTCAAAAAGTAGGGGCCCTGGTGCCTTCCTCCACGGGAGGGACAGGAGCAGAGGCGGAGAGGAGAGGCCCCCGACAGGCGGAGGCCGGACAAAACCCAGGGAGCGCTGGGAAGGGAGTGACCTTGCAGAGGACCTAGGTTCCCGT